ACATAATTCTTTAAACTCACAATTTACTAACCTGCTAAGTATTCACTCTAGCTATTACAGTTACTTCCAGATAAGGTAAACGTTATCTTCATGTAAATTTTATGATTAAAGTAGGTATTTAACAAAACAATTCTCTAGTTCGGTGACATATATGTACATATGGTCTTTTTTTCAGTAAAACATATGGGTGGCTCTTTTCAATCACATTTAACAAAAAGGAGAGATGTGAAAACTGAAAGAAAAAAAGATAAAAAGAAAGATAATGAAAAGGAGAGGAAAGAGAAGAAAGCATGGGACAAGGAATAGGAATTGCTGCAAATGTGGAACATATTTCAAATTCTGGCTGGAATTCAATGCTTTTTTTTTTTAATGTAGAAGTTTGAGATGCAGCAAAAAGTAGCAGCAAGCTTTCCATGTTCTCCACCTCTAGCCCATGTCTACCTGTTCTTATTCCATCATGATAACCAACACCCAGTCCCACCCTATTCCATACATTCTGTGTTCTGGCACAGCCTGGTGAACCCTTCCACCTGACTTCATCATGCCTGTACCATTCTCTATCCTGAGACCGTAGTTGGTTCTCACATCTGGGAGCCCTCTCTGAGCTGGCACCCAACTCCATGTTTAGTCCAGTATATAAATCTTCCAGACCACTCCAAGACTCTATGTACTCCTGCCCTTATAAAGACCGATCTATATTCAGCCTTCAAGCATACCCCAATCTGTATATCCTCTGCTCTGACACAGACTGCTCGGTTTGCCTGCTCAACCTACTAAACCGGCATCCTACCTAATACCTAGACATACCAAGTCCATATAACAGACTAGTGAACCCATTTGTACCTTCCCTTAACCACTTTGGACCAGATGGTACACCCTGAGTGCTACCTCAACCTGCTGTGTCTAAATCAGACAACCTAGTGAAAGAAGTTCATTTGTCCATATCATATTGTAAACGATAATATAAAACATTAACATAGTAAGTCCCATGAAAATCCACTAACACTGTAGAAAATGTTCTCCAATAAGAATCATTTAGGTAAATGCCAAGATATAGAACTTAAAAGAACAATCATAAGCTTCAGTCAATAATTCAAAGAGAAGTTGCAAGCAAACACAAATATGAAGCTAAATGAAAATAAAAACATGCTATGATATACTCTGAAAGAATCCAAATTCAGCAAATCAGCCATAAAGAGAATATATAGAAGCAATATTTTATATTGAAAAAAGAGTAAGTGCAACAAAGGGACAATGGAAACACAGTTGATAGAAGCTAATTACCAAAGCACAACTAAGAACACAACAAATATCAACCAAAGTGACAAAAATCCAATATATAACTTTCAATAATAACTTGAAATATTTATGGCCTCAACTCTGAAATCAAAATTCACGAGCTAGCTGAATGGATTAAGAAAAAAATAAAAGCAATTCTATTTTCTAAAAGAAACTCATCTCATACAGATAGGCATCACTTTAAAATGAAAGGATAGAAAAATATATTCAAATAAAAAGGGACCAGGAAGCAGACAGGTATCTTGCAATAAGGCAAGAGAAGAAAACTAAACAAATACAAATAGAAAAAGAAGAAGTTGAATTAAATTATCCCTATTTGACGATGACATAAGAGATCAAAAAACAACATTCCAAATGAAAATATAGAAAAGTGATCAAAAATGAAAGGATAAAAAAATAAAGTAGCCTTTGAACATACTTACCACAAACATGGTAAGAAAGAGATCATGAACACACTACCACTCACAATAACCTCAAAGAAAAATATATAGGAAATGATCCTAACCAAGGAGATGGAAAACCTCTATAGGAAAATCTTTGTATCCCCGTGGAAAGCAATAGATAATGAAAATATATCTAATGATCTTAGATTGGTAGACTTAATATTGTGAAATAAAGATTCTACAAAAACCAATTTACACATTTAATGGAATTCTAATCAATATCTCCCCAATATTCTTCATAAAAATAGAGTTCTAGAATGCATATTAATCATACACACACATACACACACACACACACACACACACACACACACACAAATGAATAAGTGAAAAGAAACAACAACAAAGATAAGGAAAAATGTTGGGGCCACTATTCCAGACTGCAATATATATTACAAAGCCATGATAACCACCACAGCATGGTACTCACACAAAACAGATGTTTAAACTAATGGAACAAATTAGAAGACCCAAAGAAGATCTCACATAATTATAGCTGTTTAATAGTAACAAAGATGACAAAAAATACACATTGAAGACAAGGCACCGTCTTAAAACAAATGATTCAGAGAAAAAACTGTTTGCCAATGTCACATGTAGAACATGAAATTATATGTGTGTAAGAATTAAAATATACACTTATGTGCTCCTGGATAAAGTTTAACTTGGATGTATCACAAATCTCAACATGAAGCATTAAATGCTGAAGTTGTTAGAAGAGAACAGAGGCAATAATATTAATGACATACATATAGGAAAGGACTTTCTGAATAGGATTCTGTTTGTTCTGTAATTAAGGACAACTAACAAATCAGACCTCAGAAAATCAGAAACTAAAACAAATTACGTAAAATTAGGGAAATAATCAAATGAAGAGTAAACCTAAAGAGTGAAGAGAATCTATGTCAAGTATATAGCTGACAGAGGATTAATATCTGTAATGTAAAACAAATAAAATACAATGAATCAAGCAAACAAGTAACCAAATTATAAAGTATACTATGGATCTGAATGCAGAGTTCCTAGAAGGAGAAAAAAAATGGCTATGAAATATCTCAAAAAATGTTCATGATTTCTATCAAACAGATAAGTACAAATTAAGACAACTTTGAGATTTCATCTTTCCCCCAATCAGATTGACCAAGATAAACAAACAAATAAACAAACAAAACCCTAAATTTTGAAAAGTAGGGAAAAGGGAACTCTTGGTGCTATTGCTCCCTGGAACATCCAGGAGGCAAATCAGTGCAGAGAATTTTCAACAAGTTAAAAAAAAATTCTACCACAGGACCCAACCTTGGGGCATTCCTTGGCCCAAAGGATTCATCATGCTACTCTACAGGTATTTGTTCAGCAGAGGTTAACAAAAATGTAGTTCATAGAGCTATAGAGATGGCTCAGTAGTTAAGAGCACTGATTGCTCTTCCAAAGGTCCTGAGTTCAATTCCCAGCAACCACGTGGTGGCTCACAACCATCTGTAATGGAATCTGAGGCTCTCTTTTGGTATGTCTGATGACAATGACAGTGTACTCATATACATAAAATAAATAAAATATTTTTAAAAAGCTTATACAAAAGAAAGAAAAAGAAAATGTAGTAATATATATTTTTGAATATTATTCAGCTGGAGTGATTTAAAACAAAATCCTGAAATTTGAAGATAAACTCATGGAATCAGGAAATATTATACTGATTAAGATAACCCACATAAAGACATGTGCTACATGTTTTCTCCTATTTCATGTTTCTATTGCCAAATATTCAATTTATGAGTATATACCTGAAATGCACACAGAAACCAAGGATGTAAAATGGGGCCATGGATAGAGAAGAACTCTAAAGTGGAAAACAGCAAGATACGGAAGATATCAAGGGGGAATGGGAAACAGTGTCTTTAATTACAGTGGGAGGAAGGAGGACCATAAAAGGAGAATGATAGAAAAGGGAAAAATAGTAGTAACATTCTCTGAAAGGCCATAGGGGATCACATCATTTTCTATTTATCTAAGATTAGTATGATATATAAGTGCATATGTACATATATGTATATGTATAATGTATATGTATATATTGCAAAGTTATGTATATAAAACTAACCACTTAGGGTGATGATTTGCTCAAAAGGCTACCTAACAAAGCCTCCAGTAACAGACATGAAAAACCACCTTTCAGGTTGTTCAGGGGAATTCAGGGGACTTCCCAGATATTATAGGTTATTGCTTCCCTGTCCTTGATTGCATCTAAGAAGTTGAAAGTACGTTCTTCTGACTGAAGATAACATGTTCATCAGACACAGGACTTGGACAATTTTAGCTTAATCTGAACCCAAAAGCCTTCTCCCTGAGGCTCCAGTTTGATAATACCAGAAGGTGCCATGGAAACTCCCAAGGGAGAAAAACAATTAATATTCCTAACTGTGATGCCTATGATCCAAAACACTTACTAGCATGGTAAGAGACACTATTTGAAGTCATGGTACTTGCAAGCATCTCTCTCTATAAGACTTAAAGCCTGCGAAACATGAAATAAATCATGGCTGATTTAAACCTAACCAATTACCTGTTGCTAGTGATGTGGATTTTAGAGGAAAACACATTTCTTCTACTTTCAAAACGAACTATAATTATGAAGTGCATTTCAAGTACTTATTTGTATGTTCACATATAAGTTTAACTCTCACCCTTCATCAAAGAATTGCTTGTATTCAGGAGACACCATTACAGAAAGCCACAGCAAGTAACAATATAGAAAACAAGAGACCATGTGGGGGTCCAACCTCTATTGATACATATATAACAAAATGCTTACATATAGGCCTCAAGATATATTGCAGAATAGGGAACATCTTATAGAAGACAGAAGACCTGGATTTCTGCTGTGAGCGCATATCTTCTAGATACAAGAGGAGAACAACACCTAGGAAATCTGAGCAGAATAGCTTCTTGACAAGGCCTAAATCATGACATCAGTTGACACGCCAATACGAAGTATGACCGACAAAAGACTCCATCCCTTGATGAATACACACAGGCAATTAATAAGTTCTGGGAGAGGAAGAATGGGTCTCCTCCAAGGATAGGCCCTCTCATTGGTTATCCAGTCCCAAGTAGTCAGCCCTGAAAAAAAAAAAAGATATGTCATTTTTTCTGTCCATTAATTTGTTTAAACATTAATTTTCTTTTGCAGAATTAAAGAAAGAAAGAACCCCAAAAGGTAGTTACTTACTACTTTTTCCTTCAAAAACAAAACAACTTATTCCTGCCCATGAATACACTGCAGTTGTGATTGCTGTGCTAGATAAGCATCAGTAGGTGACAGAGAGGAGCAAGGCTGCATTTATGCTTAATTTTCTGACCTATAAATATCTGAATGATTAATAGCCTAATATTCTGTGAAAAAGAAATCCTAGCCTGAGACTACCACTAGTCTGGTGCCAGGGCCCTGGAACAGGAGCTAGCCTGAGACAACTACAAGTCATGTTCTAGGCAGGCCAAGATGGACTCCCAGAATAGGAAGCAAGACTACAAAAATCCTGCCAGGAAACCAAGACCTAGGCAGGAGTGAGCCAAAGACAGAGGGCCTGTCAGGCATGATCCATGAGGAGCAAGCCAGGAAGAACAACCAGACTGGTGCCATGGGGCTCAGACAGAAAGCTAGGCTGAGATGAACACCAGTCTATTGTTTTGCAGGCCTTCCTGGAAAGAAGTGTAGACCATGTTACAGATAACCCCTACTGAGTGTCATAATGCACAAGCAGGACACAGCACACCTGAGACCACTCCTGAGACACCACCAGACACTCTGACACCCCAGACACTACTCAGGGGAATAAGTGGTGAAGTAACGAAAGAGAAAAAGAAATAGAGGGGGAGTGGGTGTCACACAAAGAGACAGAACTTGAGACTTACGGATAGTGAGTAACAGCCAGATGTGAGTAGCTGGTAATGCCACCTGGGACCCTAGTGGGATTCTGGCTTATGCTACCACTGGGGTCACATCTGGGTCCATGGTCCTGCAGTATCAGGAGTCTGTTATCACAAAAATAACAAGCGGATATCTCCGGTCTGGGCTGCCACCTGGAGCCATGTTGATGTCTGATGGGTGTGCAGAATTGCCACCCCCCCGACCCCCACATGCACAGACACCTTACCTGGACATCTTGAGAAAGTTTGCCCTTCAGGAATGTAGAGCAGGACAGCAGACCACCCTGCCGCTAGCTGGCTGCAGTATTCAGGAGAGCAGGTCTACACATTGTGGAAATGCCAGGTGTGCCACAGCCAGGGAAAAGAACTTGGGAGAGCTGGCTTGAACAAGGGAGAAATACCTTCCTCTCTCCTTGCTTACCGCCTGCATCAGACAGAAGACTGGTCCTAGCAACAGGAGAGCTAGTCCTTCCCTTTATCAACTGCAGCACTCAGGAGAGGAAGTCCGTACTTCTCCTGGGCAGCACAGAGGAATTGACCTTGGTGGTAAGGGTTGTAGGAGAGCTATCCCCAAGGGCCTGAGAGTATAAAAGCTGGCGGCTGACCATGTCTTGATAGCTCTCAGGCCTAGATCCAGGGCTTTGAATTGGCCCACCTCAACAACTACCCCATCGATGAATCGCTGGAATGCATGAAGGGGTTAGTCCAAAACTAAAGAATCTCCATGACTCAGTAAAACAACAGGATACCTAAGAGGAGTCTTAATGAGGTTTCAGTATCGATAAAGTAGCAGAAGCCAGAAGACTATACTACAAGACCAATGAGTCATTTAAATGAAAATTTACCAGCAAAGAAATGTGGAGAAGAAGCAATGGGAATACGGTACGATACACTGTGACATACTGCAGCTTCCACAACAAGATTTTTTTCCCTGTTGGAGTGTGGGAGGTTGCAAGGGTGGATGGTGGGTACTAGGAGAGGGGAGATGAATGTGATTGGGGTGTGTGATGTGAAATTCACAAAGAACCAATAGAAAGTTTTTTTTAAAAAAATCACATTTAAGCAGTGTTTAGCTGTATGTATGTCTATGTTTTACGTGTACCATATTTTTATATCTATATATGCCTTTCTAGTGTACTATTTCAAGTACATTTCATCACACTAAGAGCTCCTTAGCTATTTATGTTTGATACCCCCTTGACCTAGCTCACTTTTATAACCATAAAAACAGAAGAAAGTGACTAATTTTCATCTTTGATGAGACTAATCTATTTAAACTTTAATGCAATCAGTTTTAATTTTTAAAACCAAATAAATTAAAGTGAGTGATCCTACTCTCTGATCAAGAATAGTGGCTTCATAAACCAAATATACAATAAGATAGAAAGATTAAGATGTAATATTCATGAACTATAAAATGTGACAGGTTGTTTAAATAATTATCTCATATTCAAATGATGAACGAATTCTATTTACTCTGTTTGCAAGGCTCAGGATCACACAGTATTTCCATGGTTAAATATAAATAGATTTTACCATCAATTCCCTGACCTATTTTAGTTGATCCACCTCCTGCAAAATGGGCTCTCGGCGACTCTAATACTAAGAAGTAAGAGACAGAAAGTTTGCCATATGTTAGTACACATGACAGAAAAGCTGTCAGTGTAGAGATACTTCTGTTTCAGCCTTAAGTCCACATCAAACCTTTTTGCTTTATATAAGCAGATCTACAGATACACATGCTTTCTCCATATTGCATACCAAGGTGCTAATAATTCACTACAATTGAAGTTTAGTGCATTGCAATGCTTCCCTAGATCAATTGCCACATGTAAAAATTTTATTTTTCATGAATTTGCATGTGCACGTAATTTACATAATTAATACTACTACCTCCTTTCATCTTTAGCTGCAGTTTAGTGAAGTATATCAATCTTATTGTCGACTTGGGTTGTTTTAAACAGAGAATTTTATGTAATCAGGTTTATCTAAAACTCTATGAGTAGCTGTTGACTTTAAATTTCTACCTCCATCTCTGTAGTTCTATGATTACAGGCAGGTGTTACAATGACTGATTTTCTAATATTTTTTGCATTCTAATTGTAAATCTTTTCAGTATTTGTTTCTGAAATTTATTTCCATGTTTTAATATCCCATCATTATTTTGCTTCTTTTTCCATTATAGAGATTATTTTTAAATTTTCTATACTGAAAAATATGAACTTCAACTTCCTGTCTCTATTCCACAAGGAACACCTTCCAAACTTCCTTTTATTACAGATATGTTTATAGTTAAGCTAACATCATAGTTAATATCATTCCTCTGTACCTTTATGCTTTCTCTAGTGTCAAACTTATCCTAGTTACTATGCTCTTGTTTTTCCATAAATCTATCATTATTCATTCCTCAAGAGAATAACCTTCTTTTAATATGAGCAAATTTTAGTAGCATTTACTGTATGTGATATTACTTGATACTCAGAAATATTAAGCAACAGAGACTTAGCATCCCTAATGTAAGAAGAAAAAATGGATATCTCAATGAATTTAACATTTATAGAAGTGTGGTGGTCACTCGGTTGATTGTGATAATTCATTTCTTAGCATGCACATCATGACAAAAGTATCAATTTCACTGAACTAGAAATTTCTTTTTCATATATTGCTTATATTGTTTCTACTTCTAATTTTATGAAAGGAAAGTTGATAATTGAGAGTTAGCACACTGTGTGACACTGATTTTAACTTCGAAAACTAGATAAATGGAAACTATTCTCAAGCAATTTTATTATTTGATACATTTATTCATCAAGGATAGAATTTGAGAGAGCATGCTCAGTTTGAGGTTTTACAATTTGAACTTCCTGGAGTATAAACTATTGTGATGATATTGAAATACTTATGTGCATACTTTTATGTAAACTTGTTTGTGGAAAATATGCTGTCTTTTCAATGCATTTGATCAACTGAATCAGTGTTCTTTTGTGGAACAGGATTGAAAGAATGAGCATATGCATGTGTAAGTATATATATGTATGTAATGCAAACATATACAGTATATAAATATTCGTATAAAATTTCATCAAATAGACTTCTCTAATATAACATAAGGCTTTGAATAGATTGATATCAGGTGTTTCATAGCAGAGTGTTGGAAAATCTATCAGTTGTTCCATACATAAGGGTGAGCACCTCACCAGTACCAGCTTGCAGATTTCTGGGAGAATTACTGCTTCAAATATCAGCACAGGAATCAACAGCAATAGGATAATTAACTTAACTAAAGCCAAGTGAGAGTAGCTCAATATTCATTCTTTCTTGTCATTTAATATTTAGTCTGCTATAAGAAAGTGTTGTCAACATCCTACCTATTAAAGCCACCAAGTTCATTTCTCAACTGAGGCACCTTCCCCAGTTATTCTAATCATGGAAGGTTGACATTTAAAACAAATTATCATGAGCTATATTATGTCAACTTTACATATAAGGACACTTCAAAACCTTAACTTTCTACCCAATCTCCAAAGTCTTGTACTAATTTTATGATGCAAAATATAGTCCAACTTTAGAAGGTCTCCCAAATTCTTAAAATTTCCAAAGCTTTAAACCCATCCAGATCAATTTGTGTAACTCAAGCCTTCTCAGATATGTAGCCTTCCAATGGAACACAGTCAATTTACCAGAAGCAACACTCTTAAATAAAACTGACATATGAACTCACAGCTGTTGTGACAGCATGCACAAGACCTGTACAATTCCAAGCCAGGCCAAATCCCAGCATGGAGAGTGGAGTTGAACACGAAGTCTTACCACTAGCCAAGGAGCTTTTGGCAATTGATAGCTGCTGAGAAGGGTAAAGTCAATTTCTCTAGGAGTATAGCGCTTAATATGTGTATAAGCATATTCTTAACAAATGACAAAACCTTCATGCTCCTCCATCCTGAGCAAGGGCATAAGTATGTCTTGGTAAGAGTTAGTAAATACATTCCTTAAAGGTATGGGCCATTTATCATTCTTCCAGGATTAGTTATAGTTTTCCAAAGATCATTATCACAAACCCTGGTAACACAGAGAGATATATAAAGGATTGCCTATATGTCTGACAAAAATCTTTCTTAAGGCCATTGTGTAAAGGCAGTACCAATTAGACATAGAAGGCTAAATAAACCACAGCTTCTAAGACTGTTACTCTTTTTGCACTCCATTGACTCAAGGGTGTATTAGTAGCTCAATGAAGTCAAAATTATGTCTTAACTTACAGTTCAATGCAATATTTGTGTTCGTTGACAGAAATGCTCCTCCCTGAAACCAGAATATCTAGGCTAGAAGTGCACAAGGAGAAGGAAGCTAAGTTTTCTTAGTAACTAGGGAAACAGGAAATGAAAACATTGCCATTTCTAGCTTCTTGTTCCTGAATCCATGAATCCTGCCATAGAAGAAAGAGAATGTTCTAGAGAACCATTCCA